TTTTGTGCATGGCAATAGATATGGATCTATTTGCATTCTTCTACATGTTAATCCCAGTTATGCGAACCCCATTTGTTGAATACGTTTTCTTTTTATCATTTAAGATTTTTAGCTTCTTTGCCAAAAATCAGGTGTTTGTAGGTGTGCAGATTGTTATCCAGATCTTCGATTCGATTCCATTGGTCCTCCTGTCTGTTTTATGCCAATACCAAGCGGGTTTTCAGTACTGAAGCACTATAGTAGAGTTCGAAGTCAGGGAAGGTGATGCCTCCAGAAATTCCTTTAATGTAAAGGATTGTTTTGGCTATTCTGGTTTTGTTTTGTTTTTTCATATAAAGTTGAGTATTGTCTTTTTGAGGTCTATGAAGACAGTGCTCCAATTTTGATGGGCATTGCACTGAAACTGTAGACTGCTTTTAGTAAGATTGCCATTTTTACTATGTTAACTCTGCCTACACAATAGCATGGAGATGTTTCCATTTTCTGGTGTCTTCTTCACTTTCATTTTACAAAGATTTAAAGTTCTTGTCATACAGGTCTTTCACTTGTTTGGAGTTACCCCAAATTATTTTATGTTATTTGTGGCTATTGTGAAGGGTAATGTTTCTATAATTTCTTTCTTAGCACATTTATCCTACTTGTAAAGCAAGACTACTGATGTTTTTGAGTTCATCTTGTATCCTGCCACATTACTGAAGGTGTTTATGATTTGTAGGAGTTTCCTGATAGAGATTTTGGGGCCACTTATATATACTATCATATAAGAAGCAAATAATGAAAGTTTGATCTTTTTCCAATTTGTAGTTCTTTAGTCTCCTTTTGTTTTCTTATTGCTTTGGCAAGAACATCAAGTATTATATTGAACAGACATGAAGAGAGTGGAGACCACTTCCTAAATATAACCCAAGTAGCACAGACACTAAGAGCAACAATTAATAAATGGCCCTCCTGAAACTGAGAAGCTTCAGTAAGGCATAGAACAAAGGATAAGACAAAACAGCAGCCTACAGAATGGGCAAAGATTTTTCAACTCTGCATTGAACAGAAGACTGTTATCCAAAATATACAAAGAACTGAAGAAATTTGACATCAAAAGAACAAATATTCCAAAAAAAGTGGTACAGACATAAACAGAGAATTCTCAACAGACGAATCCTAAATGCCTGAAAATGTTCAACATCCTTAGCCATCAGAGAAATGCAAATCAAAACAACTCTGAGATTCCATCTTACACCTGTCAGAATGTCCAAAATCAAAAGCACTGATGACCGCTTATACTGGAGAGAATGTCGGGTAAAGGGAACACTCCTCCATTGCTGGTGGGAGTGAAAACTTGTACAGCTGCTTTGGAAATTAGTATGGTGATTTCTTAGAAAATTAGGAAACAATCTGCAACAAGACACAGCAGTAACACTTTTAGGTATATAACCAAAAGATGCTCAATCATACCACAAGGACATGTGCTTAACTATCTTCATAGCAGCATTATTCGTAATAGCCATAATCTGGAAACAACCTATATACCTCTCAACCAAAGAATGGGCAAAGAGAATGTGATACCCTCACATAATAGAATACACATCAGAGGTAAAAAAAAAAATAATGATATCTTGAAAGTTTCGAGAAAATGGATGGATCTAGATAAAACCATATTGAATGAGTACCCACATCTCAGAAAGACAAATATAATATGCACTTACTGATAAGGGCTCTTAGTCATAAAGCAAAGAGAAGTCAGCCTACAGTCCACAATCCAAGAGAACCTAGAAAACAAAGAGGGCCTTAAGAGAGACATACATGGAAATACATAGGAAGCAGTAAAAGACAAGGTCTCCTGAGTAAATTGGGAGTGTGGGGGTCATGGGATATGGTTGGAAGTTAGTGGGGAGCTCCATTAAAACAATAAAGATAATGAGAAAAAAAATATGTTCATGCAAAAGCCTGACTTTGAATGCCACCAACAGTTGAAGAGCACAAAATGAGGGCTGGTAGATCAGGAGAGAAAAGTGTGAAGCAAAAAAAAAAAAAAAAAAAAAAAGCCATAGTAAAAACTGAATATGCTGTACGCTAAAGTAATATCAATTTTAAAAATTTAGGGAAGATTTAAAATTGTATTGAAGCAAAATTCCATAAATAGCTTTCCATAGTAATGTCTGTGGACAATATGGTGACAAATAAAAGATGGAAGGATCTCAAAAGCTCAAGGTGAAAAATGTATAGGGTGATTGCAAGAAATTTTTACATCACATGCTATTCTATATACTACTATTGTAAGGGGCACAAGATAATATTCATTTTTCAAATCGCAGATTTTGAAATACAGAGCCTGATCTTGAAAATAATCCATAAATATTTTAAATAATTTTCTATTAAAATTTCTTCTTCAATTTCAATAGACTAAGAATATGTTGCCATAAGGCCAAGAGTCATGTACGAACTTCTACAGGCCAGAAGAGATGACTTAGCAGTTACAAGTAAGTATTGTTCTTACAAGGACTAGACTTCTTTTCCATGTTCACAACTCCTTTACGTCTGCCTTCTGAGGTATCTGTTCTTCTGGTCTCTGGGTACTCTGCTCATATGCACAAACCCATTCTCACACAAATGACTCAAAATACTTCTATATATTACTAATGATCTACACAGCTCAATAACTTTAAGAAGTGAACTAGTGAAGTGCTGGAGTGAAGGGGCGCCATGGATCCACTGCCAGAGATAGATGTGCTGAAACTTTGCCGGTAGATTAATGAAAATGGGATAAATTCATATGTAAGAGTTAACCAATAAGAAGTTAGAGCTAATAGGCCAAGCAGTGATTTAACTAATACAGTTTCTGTGTGGTTATTTCTGGGCTAAGCTTGCTGGGTGGCTGGGACAAACAAGCAGGCCCTTCACCAACATTGGAGAGATGGATAAGCTAGTAAGGGCACTCCCTGCTCTTGCATGGGACCTCCATTTGGTTCTAAGCATGCACAACAAGTGACTTTCACTTGCCTCTCACTGTGGTTGCAGAAGACCCAAATCCTCTTTTGAAACCAGTGAGCACCTGCACTGATGTATATGCAGTCAAACAGGCATACATATATACACACAAATATAAAATTAGATTAATAAAAATATGAGCACATATGAGTTTTTTGTAAATAGAAAGAGAACTGATTTTTATCGTTGTTCTTAAAGTAGACAAGAAAAATAATGCTAAAAAATATGTTTCCTTTGAAAATTCATTTAACATAACTGTGTCTCATTAGAATGAAGATTCTAGTTATCATTGACACTTTTATCAGTTTTTAGAATAATTATAAATTTTATTAATTTGCTGGTGTCAGGTATGTAATGAGTCATGGTTAATTGAATTATCAATATTATAAATCAACTAAGAAAATTGAGGCACGTTGCATTCAGAACTACTTCATTTATATAAAGTAAAATGATTAGCTGCAAAATTTATTTGTTTTCATTTTCTTATATGTTAATCTTAAGCAATTATCACAGATTAATACATTTGATTTTACAATTTTCATAATTGAAGCTATGACTTTCCATATCATTTTTCTTTCTGTACTTTTTTGGTATTACTGATATTATATTACTGGGAAGGTTATGATACTATATTTTACATTTTGAAATAATTTTTGCACCAACTTTGAGAAGAGCATACTTTAGTTCTTCTAATCTTTAAATTATAGTGTGTGTGTGTGTGTGTGTGTGTGTGTGTGTGTGTGTGTTTTAGTTTCTGGAATGAATATGGAGGACAGAGGGCAATTTGTAATCTTAGTTTCCTCTTCTTATCACGTGGATTCTGGGGCTCTTGCTCAGGTTGTTAATGTTAGGCTTGGCTATAGTTTCTTTTCCCAGAATCATCTAGCTGGCCCAAATCTAAAATGAATCCTTTTACACTTACTATTTCTGCAGTTTCTTTCATTTTACTTCCTTTACAAACTAACAATTGTCACTGATAACTTGTATTATGAATAGTGTATATTAATAATATTGTGTCTAGTTCATCATTTTACAACTACAATTTTGTGTGTCTGTTTTGGTTCAAACAGTTCATATGTGTCACATGTATCATTCTCTCAAGTTATCACATTTTGTACTAACACACACAAACACACATACATATACACACATATATACATAGATATGTATATAATTATTTACTTATATACATGAATTATATATGTGTATATATATATATATAATTTTTTGCACGTTTGCAGACTACTATTCAAATGGATCCGTTTGTCTTTGATGTAGTCACATGGTTAAAACACATGCTGTTCTGTTTCCCATTCTTTTTTTCTGTTTTTTGTTTTTGTTTTTGTTTTTCAAGACAGGGCTTCTCTGTAGCTTTGGAGCCTGTCCTGAAACTCCCTTTGTAGACCAGGCTGGCCACTAACTCACAGAGATCCGCCTGCCTCTGCCTCCCGAGTGCTGGGATTAAAGGCGTGTGCCACCACCACCGGGCCTGTTTCCCATTCTTGGCTACTGTCCGTAAGTCTGTCACGAAGTGAAACTCATCCTACAAGTATATTCATACATATGCAATGACCTTAACTCTAGGCAGAATTAAAATATGTTATATAATACTTTGCAGTTTTATAATTCGTCCTATAAGGTGTCACTATGCCGAAGTATAATATATATGAATGCGAGCCAGTATGTAATAGGTTTGGAGATTACTGTACCCAGAATCGGGAGATAATGAAAACACTCTGTTCTTCTTTTGCTTTGGAATTTCAGATAAGAGTACTCATAAGTAGCAGAGATAAAAAGAGAAAGCAAGAAATAATTCAAATGCAAAAGGCAATGCCCTTCTCTGCAGCAGTCCTCAATAGTGTTATATATAGAAATCAGATCAGTCATTGTTTTCGAGCCTGCTAAATAAAACTAGACTGCTGGAATGGCATGCCACTTGACCTCTCGGGACTCCCGCAGCAGTATTTAATGGGTGCACAGGGAGCTCTCCTGCAAGTGGCTCCTGTTTACATGCCAGATTCCCCTGCTAGTTCACACAATGTTCAAAAGGCACAAGTCCCTGGAGCGCAAGAGGGAATTTTTATTCCAGGGACTTCCACAGTCCACAATGAAGAATAATACAAGAAATTTCCACTCTCTGTCACAACTTGTACTCTCAGCAGGCCCGCTAAAGACAACCCGAACACTCAAACTTTCTAAAACAACTCACTTTGAGATTGAAATACTGGATGCTCATACAAGAAAACAGATATGTGTTGTGGATAAGGTAAGCTTTATTTATCTTTTTAAATGTTTCTTCTTAGGCACAAATTACTGACTGCTGATTTAGCCAACAGAACTTTAATAAATGCATTTCTAATTTTTAACATAGTATTATGGGTGAACAAAAAGATGCTTTATTTACCGTCACAGCAAGAAACATTGTCTACATTGTCATATGTGCTTCAAAATAATCATTTAATTAGTATCTTACTTCATTTCCGGCTCTGTTGTCCATAATCTAGGAGTAAACATTTAGAATAAAACACAAATTGCATAGATTTTTTTTCTTCATGCTTTATAGCAATAAAATGTATAACATTTAACAGTGTCTGTAAAATCCAGGAAGTAAAGAGCACAAATGTTAAAAAGTGTTTATCATGTATCTAAAATGTAGGCATTTTGTTTTGAGTGGTTTGCTTTTCTAAAAGTTTCACCTTTTGAAAGCACAGTCTTCAAATTCTTGAAGAGTATAGCTTTGTTAATGGGCCATCTCCCCACATCTGCATACACAGATGTTTCACAAAGAATGATGAATTCTGAATATCTTAGATTAGAAAATTATAGCGTGAACCCTGGAGACACAAGTACATTAATCACATACCAATATGTTTCTCTTAATACGAAAAGACAATAACTTTAATTGATTGCCAGAGTGATGTTGTCCATAAAAAATATTTATTGTTTTATAGAAACATAAATATTTGTTGTTTGTCCAAACAAAGTATCCAATAAGTTGCTCCATTTAACCATGTTGCAGGTGGGCTGCCAGATAAACACTGTTCACTGCTCTTTACTGTCTAAAACATTATATATTTTCAAACTTAGTACCTATAATATTATAAGCAACTTACTAGTTGAACAACTTTATTTACTTTTAGGTGAAAAATACATGTTAAGTTGTTGCATTTTAATTCAGATCACAGATAACACTGAAGAGACTCCAATAATCTATTTGCATATAATTGCATATCATATACATCCATATTTCTGTAAGTGATGACTGTTTTATGTAAAGGAAAATTTGATACATAGATTTCATATAATAAGTTTCTGTTTAATATAAGTGTATTTTGTTTGCTTTGTGAAACAGTGTTTTCAGGAATGAGAAAACTGTAAACACTTTAAACCTTGCCAAAGACATCTGACATTTGCAATATTTTACTATCCAAATGTCTGAATGTGTTAAAAGTACAGAAGAGAGATAAAGCAAAGAACAAAATGGAAGGGGGAAAGTTAAGAACTTATACCTTAAATAATAAGAAATCAAACACTTCTTAATTATTGTTTTCATACTTAATATTTTAGGTGAGAAAATGACAATAAATTTCACTTGCATAAAATTAAATTGGAAAAAAATGAAAAAATCTGAAAGCTACTATCTTAAGAATTTCACACTTCAACTCTAAAAATTCTTGATTTGTCTCTGTAGTGGTAAAATATTACAGAAATAGCTATACTTCATCCATTGTAGCCCTGTTCTTTTATTCTTTTTTCTTTCTTATGTGAGATTCAACCTAGATCAGAGAATGTGCTATGTCAGCCACCTCCTACAAACTGATACATCTTTTCAAGCTATAAGATTTTGACATATTAAATTAATTTCTGCTTTTACATTAAGGAGTTCCTTTTTGTTCTTTTGTCTTCTTTTGATATTTTTTATTTAATAATTTGGTGAATGCACCATATTGATGAAGGTGCATCAAAGAAAAGAGATATGAATGAATTTGCATTTTTATTATTTTTATTAATTTTTATCATAATAAAGACTTTTTTCTGTTAGTTTTATGCATTATTGTCTTTCTCATAAAAATTCTGGGGTATGATGTGTTTTGTTTCTTCTATTACTTTCTTCAAGTGTTCATATTGTCAGTGCTCCTCCCCTCTTATTTGATCCAAATTATTTCACTGGCTCTTTTTCTTCCTCACGTCTCAGAACTGGAATTCACTGAATTGCCAGTGGACAGTGACAAAGACTGCTGAACCCCAGTCCTCACTATCATACTGTCACGTTGGATTTGCAGCATGTTCTGCTATTAATCAATTAGAAATCATCTCAAGACATTTGTGTTGAATTACAAAATTATTTTATCCTATAATATTTCTTTGACTACTTTTTATCTCTGCTAATTCATCATCTCATGCATTAGGTATTTATTATGAAACCTATCAGCTATCTATCATCAACATCTTCTCCATCATTTTCTATTTGCATCTTTAAAGCCATACTTAATTTAGTATATCTAAAGCAGATAGTATATGGGACTTCTTAGAATAGTGCCTTAAATCTAATATAAACTAAATTATTTTAATTGTTCTCATGATTTGGAGAGAAAATGTTTATGCAAATAAACTCTAAGGATAAAAAGGCTAGTAAATTTAATTTTATTAAGATTAATGATTTGATACCACTTTTGATATCTTTAGTTTACAATTAGCATTTTCAAATACCACAAGTGGACTCTATGTTGATCTTCTGCTAATTAGCTTCCATAGAGATCTCCAAGTTTGTAAATAGAAACTGCCCTCCAAATAAATCTCCCGACACTTGTGGGAGTTGTGACTCATCTCCTAATCTCATGCTCCACACACAATCAATCTTCTTGACAATACCTTCAAAGTATACCCCTGCGCTGACAAATCCCTGCCACTTCTACTGCCAGCATGCTTACATCTTCACCCTGCATCGTCATTATCACCTGCAGTGGATTCCCTACATGGAAACCAGAGCTAGCTGTTAAATCCTGTCAGATAATACACTCCACCTGGCAACTGGGCCATGCCTTCCTTTCCGTTTTTATCTCTCACATTTTCCCACAGACTCTTTCTGATTGTTGAACCTTCAATCTGTGCCAACATGCTTTTTATTTATTTTTTCATTTTCTACAAATGTTGCTGTATATCATTTTAGGTTTCTTTTTTTTTTGTTGTTGTTGTTGTTGTATTTGGTTTGACTGTAGTATCTTGGATTCACAAAGCCAGAGGTTTTATTGTTTATTTCACTTCAACATCTTCTGCATTTAGAACAATTCTTGGCACAGTTTTAATCAATCAATATGCGTTTAGTAAATGACACCTATTCAAAATGAGAGACAGGATATTGTTGTTTTATTCTGATGTGATAGTTTGAAATTAAAGTGGTATAACAAAAGAATAATCATTTCCAATTTTCTAAATCAAGCTGTAAGTAAAGTATATGTAAATCTATTCCCATACAAAGACATTGCTTCAAATCATTCTATTAAATGAAGTATGCCTCCTTATTTTCCCAGAGGGTTAGATATAATTTACCTTTAAATTAATGTATAATTAACCAGTAGACTATTTTATTCTGATGACAAAGTCTATCTTAATTTTAATGAAACACCCAAGTACTTTTATTTAACTAACATATTTCCATGAATGACTAAAATAATAGAAGTAATTAATAACGATAAAAAGATGCAATTTCAAATACATTAAGTATCATTTCTAAGAAATTACTGGGACATCAAAATCTAAGAGCCTGCACGAAAATATATTTGGAGTAAATAGTGAATTATGAACATTTAGCTCATGTCATTGTCTCCTGTATTTAAAAATATCACAAGCTTATCTGCTGCTAAGTCACATATTCAAGAGCAGAGCCAGGATAAAGCACACTGAAAGTGATCAGTCTTCCCGTATCTTCCCATTCTCTTTTATTTCATCTTTATTCAAAGGAACGTGAGATCCCTTTATTTTATTCTTTTATTTACTCTTTGCTCCCAACAGAATCTTTCGAAAAAATTTTATAGAAATTAAGGGCTAACACACCACAGACACATCAGCACCGTGGGCCACAAATGGGTTACTATTCAACAGTGGACATAATTATAGAATTAGTACACCTTAATTTAGTCAGTCAGTGGTGGTACATGCCTTTAATCAGCATTTGGGAGGCAGATGCAGGATCTCTGTGAGTTCGAGGACAACCTGGGCTACTAGAGCTAGTTCCAGGACAAAAGATACGTAGAGAAACCCTGTCTCAAAACACCACCACCAAAAACAAAACAACCAACAACAACAACAAAAAAAAAATCTGTGCCTTTAAATAATATCCAGAAATTCAGAAAATTCTTAGCTGTGGATAGCAACACTTTAAATACTTCTTGTAAATTATAACCAGCATGCTAGTTTCTTAAGTTATTCTACTCTAACATGGCTATAACATTTTTCTTGCGCTGATTTTGCCTTTTCTTTCTCTTTGAAATTTCACATTTCAAACTAAAAGACTGCTGTTCTTTTCATCCACCTTTTATCAGCATCCCCAACATTCTCCCTGTTTCTTCCCAGCTTAGTCCTTTCTGTTGTATTGTAAATTCTATTTTCTGTCGGAAACCAGATTTGGCAAAAATGCCACTTACCTTGGTAGTCCTAGTGCTTTATTATTGAGTATAGTCAGCTTTGCTTTATCTGCAAAAATCTCCAAAATTGGTTAATCTTTACAACTATTTAATTTCTACTTTAAATTCAGTCTTAAACCTATTGACCAACCAACATCTTTCTTTCTCCTTCAACCCATTCCCCAAATGGACTGCCTCCATTAGTCTAATTATTATATATCAACTATTGTGTGAATTAAAAAAAAACAAACTTAACCAACACAGATGCACATGAGCTAAGTAGATGCTGATATTTATGCTAAGCACATTAAAACTCTTTGGGTTGTCAAGCTGCATGTAGCTATGTGAAATTTATGTGCTCAGATGCCCTAATTTTATAGTATTAGGAGCACAGAAATGACTGAATTTTGAAATTGTATATTATGCTTGAACTTGTATAATGAAATCACAAAAAAATCCTTGTAGTTACAAATTTTCCACAATTATGAATTTTTACCTTTGTTTTTTTTTAAATTTTAATTCATTTTATATATCAAGTACAGCCCCCCTCTCTCTCTTCCTTACTCTCTTCCCTCCTCCGCCAGTCCACCCTCATCCACTCATCAGAAAGGGTAAGGCCTCTGCATGTAGGTGACTGTTGTAT